GTCATTTAAATAGTCTTTTGTCCCTAACTTGCACGTCTCATTAGTTGCCAAACCCTTTTCATGCGGAGTTTCTGGTCTGGGCCTTTGCCTGTCTTCTCATGTCCACTGCCTGAGTTCAGAGGGTCTTGCTTGCCAGGGTGACATCGTCCTAGCTAGAGTGTCTCCGTCTCCAGTCCTCTTCCTTGTCTTCCTTCCGCACCGTCACCAGAGGTACCCGTCTATACCCCAGTAGCGTCTGTGCTGTGAGCCTGGCCTAGAAGCCCACTGCCGTCTGGCCCCGTGATCCGCCTGTGCCTGAGCACATCCTCCTCTTAGTGCTTTCATTCATTCTCAGTGCTTTCATTCAGGCTGCTCTTCCAGACAAGCTTCCGCTGCAAAAGACGTAGCCCAGATCTTGAAAGAGTTTATGTTTCCATAGAACTTTGCGATCACTTCCCAGACTAGCACCTGTCTCGCTGTGTTATAATTGTTTCTTTACACACTCATCCCTCGGTGAGTGTTGAGTTTCTACTACCGACGGCAGGGTGCTAAGTGTTGGGGTGCACGACCCACATGGAATTTCCACTGGGAAGCAGACCCCCCAAGAAAGGGAAATAAATAAATGAAGTAAGTAAGTATAAATTTGACTGAATGCCTGCAGCTGATCCTCCCTGCAGGGCTAATTCAAAGAATAAAATTCTGTCTGCAAGGGCCTCCCTGTGGCCATGATGCTTTGAACAGACCGTCATGGAGAAAAAGGAGTCTGAAGAGGGCGGGGAATGTCTCCTTCTCGGGCCTCTGCTCCTGCCGCTGCACCTGCCTGGACCGGGATTGGCGTCGCTGAGAGATGCGCTGTGGCTGCAGGGTGTGGAAGAGGAGGGTGCAGACGGGAGGGATGGAGACTGGTGTATGAGATCAGGCTGGAAACGTAGGCGCTGGTCATTTTATGGAGAGAGTAATTAAGAGTCTGCAGTTTAGCGGCAGCTCACGAGGAAGCCGGTGTCGCGTGCATGAAGGGATGGGACATGGTTCCCTTTGTAGTTTATGAAAATTGTGCCGCTGGAGACAGAATGGCGTGGGAAGGGGAAGAGCAGGTGGGGACACCGGCGGTGACCCAGGGGAAGGGTGGCCGCGGCCAGGGGTAGGGCAGTGACGTTGGAGGTAAGGATAGAGGATGGGACACAGAGGATTTATTGTGGGCACAGGACTGGCTGATAGATTCCGTGTGTGGGTGACGGCAGTGAGGAAAGAGAGGACCGAGGACGGCTCTAGGGTTTCTGGATTAAGGACTCAGTGACCAGTGCTCCTTTTCAGTGAGGTGGAGAGGGCCCAGGGTAGGTGCAGGGGGCAAGTTTTATTTTGGGGGTAAAACACCCCAACCGCTCTGCTGTAAGCATGCTAAGCTTGAGGTCTTGGACGTGTAGGTGGGGATATCAGATCGTTGGTTATATACGTGGGGTCGGAGCTTGGAGGAAAGGTCCGGGTCTGGAGACGCAGCGGACGTGGGAGGCGTTAGCATAGACGGTCTTGCACGCGTGACTTTTCTGAGATCGGCCAGAGAGACGTGTGCACCTAGACAAGAGAGCATCTTCAGAATGAGGACAAGTGCAAGAAGAAGAGCCAGGAAGGGCCCATATGCTCACCTCTGTGAACCGACACGGGGGAGAGGGCATCTTTCCACCCACGGCTGCTCTCACTAACACAGCAGTTCCTGAGAACCTACATGAGGAGCTACAAGAAA